CAGACCAGAATAACTGCCAGTTACATTTGACAAAACAGGAACGATTCAGATGTTGTGCATTACTTTGTGTAACACAAGGCAGAAAGATGTCACACCTGTGACAGAAATTGACTGTGATATTTGATATTCCTCTTGAAACCTCCAAGTTCTCCTTCCCTGTTCACTTTGGGGTGTAGCCTACGTGTGTATTTCCATACATAAATGCTGGTGCCTCTGGGAGCAGGGAGTGCTGCTGGAAGCAGTGCACTGGTCTTGCAGGGAGACCTACCAGAAGTCAGAGGTTGATGCAGATCCTCTTTCCAGCCTCAGTGTAACTGAATACTTCTGATGGAGTTCTGGTTGTGGAAGGGATTTTTTCCACCTACTACAGGCACCTGCCTTTTAATATAGGAAAGAAAAAAATGAGCTCACTTTGGAGGAGTGAAATGCCTTGTTAGTTCCTCAGAACTCAGTGCTGTGGGAACCTGCTGTAACCCCTTTCTGCAGTTTATTTCCCCTATTTCTTTGCATGCTCTGTGAAAACAAGAGAAATGTACCAGACATAGTCACTTCCTTCTTTCCTGTCCTCCAGTGTAAAAAATGAAAAGAATTTCCTGGAAGGAATGTGCTATATGATTTGAATGCAAGAAATAGTAGAGGTTTTTTTGTTTGGTTTTTTAATTTTTCTTTTTAAGAAGACTAGGTTCCTAATGGTTTGTATATTGCTGGATCTAGTAAAAAATAGGATCACTTTATAATGGAATTTAAGCATGAGTGTTGTATTTTAAAAGCAACATTATTAGCACACTAGCAAGTGAAACTGTGGTAATGAGAAACAGGGCTGGAGACAGTCACCAGCACACCAAGTCTGTTAGATGTGAGGGATTTTTCAAGTTCAGGTAAAATGAGACTCCAGTGTTTTTCTCTTCTAGCAACAAACAGCAGGGATGTGCCAAAAGGAATCATTCCCACCTCACCACTGGCTGCAGGTTTCTTTTTGTTGTCCCTCCTCATTGATGTGGGTTTTCTTTCTGGAGCGAGTATCTTCTAGGAAACAGCAGCATGCCTCTTATGGAATTGTTGACAGCTGCACTTTAAAATACATTTTTGAGAAGAGAAGCATTAGTGTGTGCCAGCTGAAGATCCTAGAATTCAAGAGAGGAGCTTTCAGAACCCTGGCACAGCAGTGTCCCATACCACACTGTCCTGGGAATCATAACTCAGCAGTAGGAAGGTGAACCAGGAAGTGAAGCCCAAAGGTAAAGCTAGGTCAGCTCTTGGCTAAACTGCAACATTTGCTTCAATTGGACTAAAAAACACAATGTTTCATATGGGGATTTCTCTTCACAAGCTCCTCTGCACACAAACCAGGGTATTTTTCAGGGCTATGACCCTAGTGTTAGAAGTCAGTTACAAGATTTCGACTTATTTCCAACAGCCAGGCTGGGAAAGGTGAAACCAGTGGCAGGGTAGGTAGAGTGTCTAGGGAAAGCTAGATACAAAGGATGAGAAAATAGCCACTTCTGCTGGCTATTCCCCCCTGGCTGGGGCAGCTGAAAAGCTCACCTGGCTGCTCATGCCTCACACACCTCCAGAAGCCACCAAGGTGGCTTGCAGGGCCAGTGAGGTGGGAGTGCCCCAAGGGAAGCCCCCAGGGATGCCTCTCTGGTTCCTCTCTCAGCAGTGCCTGCTTCTCCATGATGAGTGATCAGATCCAGTGACCAGAAACAGGTCCCAGGGAAGACAGGCTGGTGGGGCAGCTCACAGGAGAAGAACTGGAAAACCTGCAGCAAGGGGTGAGAGAGAGATCAGCCCCTTCTGTGCCAGCAGGGAGGTTAGAGCAGCCTAAAGCAATTGCAAAACCACCTCCCCCGGGGACCTGGAATGAAACTGCTCTTAAATTGCTCTTCTGGCCTTTACAGGACGAAATGATCTGTCATGAAAGTTGCATAAATGTTGAGCCCGGAAATAAAACAATCCCGTGACCCAGATATTCAGTGGAAAAATGAATTACTCACTTGTTTTCTTCTCTTTTGGACCCTGGTGTCTTTGGCTGCTTTCAGCAAGCCATCACTGCCTGATCTCAAGTGTTGCTGAGCTCTCATTATCTCACACTATCTGATGGTTTACAGTGATGCATTTGGGGCCGACAGTGGAAAGTATCAGTGGAAAGAATGTTTTTCTTCAAAACTAGAAATGCTTTTGTAAAAGTTGAAATGATCTCATGCCAAAAGCACCTTCTCCCTTGCCCTAGTCAGATGGCAGCAGCCAGCTGGTCTGCCTTCCCTGCCTGAGCATGCATTGCAGCTGTGCAGCACCACTTGAAAGCTCTCTGTGGTGGTTGTTGCAAATGAGGGAAGACCTATTTGAAAACCCACACACCCTGAGAATCATTGCAGCTGTGCAGCACCACTTGAAAGCTCTCTGTGGTGGTTGTTGCAAATGAGGAGGGAAGACCTATTTGAAAACCCACACAAGCACAGAATTATGGATTCTTTTTAAATGAGTATTTACCAAGTCATTAGTCACGTAGCTTTTCTGTAGCCTTCTATTGATAAGAATCAGAGGCTGAATAATTAGTTTAGAAAAAGTCCCAATTGATTTTGTTTTCATTACTCCTCGATAACAAGGAAATGCAATGAAACTCCTGAGGTATTTTGTCAGACCACGACTGCTTTTCTCAGTTACCACAGCTATAAGAATGTTGGTTTTTAATTTAGCAGAGCCTGGCCCAGGTTGCCCAGAGAGGTTGTTGGTGCCCCATCCCTGGCAGTGTTGAAGGGCAGGTTGGATGGGGCTTGGAGCAACCTGGGCTGGTGGGAGGTGTCCCTGCCCATGGCAGGGGGTTAGAACTAGATGATCTTTAAGGTCCCTTCCAACCCAAACCATTTTGTGATTCCATGAATACAAGAACAAATAATATTGGAAGGATAATTGCATGTCGTTCAAATTACTGAATATGCTGGACAGAATAGTAATTAGAACCTTAGTCTTAATCGCAGTGATTATTGTGAGAGATCAGACCCTTCTCTGAGTGCCTTGAGTTACTGATTCTTTTGTAAACCTGCATGTCAGAAAGCTCATTTTTATCATTTTGCTGTGTCTCCTCATGGCACATTCCCTGTCACCTTGAGGACAACACTTTAGCCAATACCTAAAACAAAGAACAAGGAGACAGAGAAGGAAGAGATGACAAAAAGTCTGAACTCATCCTCTCTCTGTTTCCTCCATTCCCTTCACAGAGTGATCAGGGTCCAGCTCCAGACCTGCCTCATCACAAAGCTTCAAGAAGGGTTTTTAGAAATGCAGAGCAAGTGGCTGAACCAATTTGCCCCCTTCTCTGCAGCCTCTAACCCCCTGCATGTTCTAAAGGCAGGTACTGGCCCTGGCACTGAAACTTTGCTGACATTCTGATACTTACGGCTTCCTGGAAGAAAGTTCCAACAGGAACACAAAGGCCCAAGTTTAGATAAATAACACATGTACATTTGCTTTGGGTTCTAATCTTCAAAATTATGCAAACAGCCAGAATTCCCCTCCTGTTTATCTGAAGAGTGTTGTATTTAAAAAACAAATAAGGCTAACAAATCAGCACTTGGTGCTAGAATACAGGAATTGGACTTAAATGCAGACCTTAAAAGGCATCTTGCATTCTCCAGCAATAGGTGTTTTCTATATAACACCTCCCACATGCCCCTGTATAACAATCTATCCTACACCAGTAGGAAACAAAAGCAAGAAGAGGTTTATGAGAAGGGAGAAAACTTCTCAATAAACCTGGTAATAGAGGCCAAAGTAACAATCTTTCAGACACAGAAGTGTCCTGGCTATCAAAAAACTTGTCTAATAAATCACAGTATAGCACGCAAAAAGACTGACTGACTTTCATTTATTTCTGGCTGGTTTAATCAAAGGAAAGGCTTGGAAATGTCCCAGGCAGTTCAAGTAACACATAATGCCATTTTAACAAAGATTGTGTTGAATAAAGTTTTCCACACTATTTGTTATGTGGGCTCCCCACTCAAAAAGCAGCACAGAAATTTCAGAAGTGAATGTACAGGTTGGTAGGAGAGTAAGAGACTGACTGATGAAGGAAAGAGCAGATAACATAAATACTTTTTATTGGGCTCTACTCTTACACTATTAAATGAGACATTGGTCCTGCTCCAGGGTAATTAATATTTTTCATGGCCAGCATTAAAAGCCAGTTTCTGTTCCAGCATGCTTGGGCCAGGACACACTGTGATATCCCACACCAAAAGACCTATTTGTCAACTGAGCCATCTCTGTCAGCAACAGGAAAAACAAAACAAACAAAAACACCCCAAACAAATCCAAGAAAATGACATACTTCAAAGGTGTCCATTTCTAAGGCTTTTCTGATGTTCTGTGCTACACAAGGTACTCCTGCCTCCTTCCCATCAGCAAGGAGGAGTATTTTATTGTTCCTTAACAAGAGGAATCTTGGATAGGTGACTGGGCAACTTCATGACTGGCATTTTTCAGGGGAAAAGAGAGCAGCTGGATCAGAGCCCTGCTCTGAGATGCTGAGCAGTGAAATGAGTCACTTTCCAGTCACAACAGCAACACCCAGACAGGTTAGCAGGCCTAAGGTTACCCTGTCCAGCTGTGGATCAGTCAGCAAGATTTGATTCCTTTATATATTCCAGGGCACTCTGACAGCCTGTGCAAAAAATGCCTCCCAGGAAGTTGAATGCTGATTTGGAATGTTGCTCTGTTTGAAGTTACTCAGTCCCAGCCTGTCCTGTGAAGGACTTGGATTTTTCTTCTTGCAAATCTCTGTGAGGAAATGCTTTAAAACATCCCTGGGTATAAAGGCTATTGCTGTTGTTAAGACCCTCTGTGTTTGCTGCTGGGATCACCTCAGCACATCTCATCTGAGCCCCTTCCTGACGCTGCAGGGCCAGGAGACAGGCAGGGTGTCCTGATTCCCTCCCCAGAGCTCATCACAACCCCTCAGGCTACAGTCACACTGATGGCTGAATCCTTCTCTCTTCCAGAGCATCCCAGGCTCAGGCCACAAGTACTACCTGCAGTTCACCACCGAAGACTACAAAACTGGGGTGAGTTTCTGCTCTACCACATTTCTCCTGCCAGCGTGCATTACATAAACTTCCACATCTCCCAAACAGGGCACCTCCCAAACAGGGCACATTTCATTGCTGTCATAAATGGAGCTTTTGCAATGCAAGGACTTACCTTCATGCTCCCACCTGCCTGTCCCATGTGGGACATGTTTTGCTCTTCACATCACCCGAGGAGCTGGTCAGTCCTCTGCCCCTGCCAGGGTCCAGGTGGTCAGAGCACCATGCTCTCCTGCTCCCTGCAGAGGTCTCCTTTATATGCTCTCCTGCTCTCCTGCTCCCTGCAGAGGTCTCCTTTAACTCACAGGAGGCAGCCAAGCACCTGAGTGGAGATTTGCTGTGGTCCAAACTCCATGTGACAGCATGGTCCTCCTTATCCAGCTGTGGCTCCTGCTGGCTCCACACACCAAAATCAGGTCAAGGAGTTCACAATTGTGTTCTTGCTGATTGTAACCCTCCCCCACTCACTGTCAGTCATTAGCAATTCTGCTGCAAGCATCTGCTTTTCCATTGCACACACATTTTATGAAATTCAGATTAGTTTCAGAATCTAATACAAAGCCTTAATTTATTTTTGTTCCAAGGCTGAAATCTCACACAATGAAATTGCCTTTTATAAATTAACGTTATTTATTGAGAACTCTCAACCCTGTTTCCAAGATGACCTAGTGCATTTCTTCTACACTTTAATTAAAAACTTATCTTAAATCATTTGGGTGTTTCAATCTACTTACTCTTCTGGGAAAAAACCAGTATCTCCCTGAAGACTGTCCCCTGTACAGGTTCATACAAAGCATCTCATAAAGACATGGGTGTGCTTCGTATGTGTGCCTCACCATAATGCCAAGAGCTTTTTGAAGAGTGTGTTGCTGGTAAGTAAGTTCTTGGTTAAAAGTAAGGGTTTTACATTCTCCCTTCCCAGGAAGATGCTGGGAGCTGCCTTGCTACAGTGTTGTATCCAAAGAAAAAGTCCCCACCTGTTGTCACTATCAAGTGTGTGCCTGCCAAAGACCAGAAGGAAATTCAAGAAGAGGACAACAGAATTTACAAAAAAATTAGGCACCAAACCAAACCAATACACGGAAACTATATTCCAGGTATGTTCCTCCATTGTATTTCATTTTATCTGAAGGAGTCTGGGGCACTTTGAAGAACACCAGCAAATGTGTGTGCATTTTAAAAAGTACACATATATATTTACAGCAGCACCCTAAAGCCACCCATCTGAACATCCCATCTTGTAAGTGATTCCTGGGGAGACAAAATCCTGCTGAGTTCAGCAGCAGTGGCAGTTAACTCCATCTTGTGAAGGTGTTTTGCATTTAAAACCCTGGGCAATTTTTAAATTCAAGTAAATGCAAAATGTCCCCAAGTAATAACAACTGCCTTAACCCCCAGACCTTCCCCAGCCACTGGTGGAAGTTCAGCAGGGATGACTAACAGAACTTTTCCATCCTGGAAACAGCACTGCAGGCCCTCATGCCCAACTGGTTAGGGAAGGACCTCCACTATCAGGGATAGGAGTTTCTCACCTCCTCCTGGGGACCCTGCAAACAGTCTCTTGGCAATGGCAGTTCCATCACACTCTCACACTTTTCTTGTGACTGCAGGTTTAGCATCATTCTCCTTCCTCTTCACAACTTTAACACATCAGAGGGAAGATTCACTTCCCAGGAACAGTGCTACACTGGGCAAGAGCGCTCTGTGCTGTGTCATGTTTTTTTTGCTGAACAGCCAGAAATAATAATTGTTCTACTACTCCCTTTCTGCCTTGCAGACAGCTATGGAATCATCAGCCCTGCCCTAGAGCCAGTGTGGGCTTTGGCTGTTGTTGGCAGCAGTTACATCATGTGGGAGAAGTCAACAGAGAACGTGGGGTACTTCATGGCACAAGTCAAGTCCGTGCAGCAGTGGGTAAGCCAGGTGGACATGGCACAGAAGCTAACAGAGTCTGCCAGGCAGCAGAGAATAAAACAGCCATGATTGTCTCCAAATCTCAGTGGCTTCTCCATACAACAACCTCCATCTCTGGACATGTATTGTGTCCAGGTTTTGGTGCTAAAATTTTACTCATTTGGAGAAAATTTGGGTTTCTTTGTTTGCATGAGTGGATCTGTTGGCTTCTGCTGGTTGAATGGGGAGATCTGAAGGTCCAGTCCTGCAGGTCACCAGCCCTTCCCAGCCAGCTCTCTGGGGAGCAAATGCACAAACAGGAGTCCCCAGAGCCTGGTCTCTCTCCATCCCCCATGATCAACAGACAGTATTTGGTTTTTACTCCCAAGTTATTTAGAATGAGATTTCTCTGAAGGAGAGATTGATAGTCAGGTAGGATTCCCAAACTTATCTGAGGATTGAGTCTATGAAGGGGTGTCTGAGGCAGCCTGGTTTGGTGTCAAGAGCAGCCAAGCTGCAATGCAGGAAATGCTCCTAATTCCCCATCTCTCCACACACAAAACCTGTCTCCCTCCAGCCCTGTGCATCTCACTCCCTAAGCCAGCTGAATGCAGTCAGGTAAATCACAGCACATTCTGCACTTCCACAGTGTAACTTGTGTCCTTCATCTTTTTTCTCCCTTTTACTACATGCCCAGATGAGAAAAGATGATTTTGTTGAGTTTGACTACACTGTCCTACTCCATGAACTCCCAACACAGGTAGGAAAGCACGTGCATTGTGATCCTGCCCTTCACCAGCAGGGACACAGGGTAAGGTCACTAAAGATACGGGTTTGTGCATCTCTCCTCCAGGAAATTATCTCATGTCACATGCGCCTCACCTGGCTCCCCAGTCACCCTCTGAAAGTGAAATACTTCTGTGCTCCTGAGAGGGAGGAGCTCGACGATGGGTCTGGAACGGGATCTGGATCAGCTGCTGGGATTTCACAGGAGAGGGGAGCAAATTTCTAAGATTAGAGATTGTCAGCTCCATGCACAGGTATTAAAGGAGACGATCCTTGTGTTAATTGACCCAGAGTTGTGATCATTTGTCTGTGCAAGTTCAGAGCAGTGAGTCTGGATGCTTTCACTAGCCTGCTGTGTTCCAAAATTAATTCCTCTGATCTCTTCAATTGCAAGACTCACATTCTAGGGCTCTCCCTGCAAACTGCTATGATCTATATACACAGGTGAGCACACACGAGTGGATCTGATGTCACTTGCTGTCACTCACAGCAACACAGTCTGTAAACAAAGTTAATATATTTGGATAAAAATCTCACCAAGCAATGATCTGCCACTACGAAACCTCTCCTATATTTTTTTAACTCTTTTTTGGGATAGCTGGGTGCTGATTTTTACCTTGTGTCTCCAATAGAACAAACCCCATGAGGCAGGGGGGAGGGTGGCTTTGCTTTCCAGGCTGCTGCTGCTGCTGGATCTGCTGCTCCTGGACCTGCTGCTGCTGGATCCCAGCTTTCCGTCCTCTCCCAGCGCCTAGACTTTCCAGAGATGCGGATGAGCAGCGAAGGGCCCTGCAGAAGCCAGTGCTCAGGGTCTGCTTGTCCTGCTGCCCCTGCTTGCAGCAAAGGAAGTTTCTTCTCTTTGTGAAGCAACTTGGAAAATATTGATCTAAGGAAACCCGAGTTTTGTTGTCTCCCCCCACCCGGGCGCTGCAGGGCAGTGTTTGCCAGAAGGAAATGGAGGATGTTGTCCCAGTCTGTTTGCAGCAGGGCATGGTTCTCCCTGGTGTTTTCCCCTGGATGGAAAAAGCCCTGTGGGTGGGAGGGCTCTGGACAGAGGAGTTCCCACACGTGAGTGTGGGGGAACAGCCAGAACACCCATCAGGAAGCTCCAGTCTGTGACGGCCCTGGTGTCCCTCCTCAACACAGCAAGAACAAGCTGTCCTTGCACACCAAAGTCCCCCGTAGCTTTGCAGCAGCCCCTTCCCCTCGCCCTTCTGTTGAGATTGGGCCAAGCTGTCTTGAATTTGTCTCTTTGTTCTCCACCCCCAATTAGCAAGATTCCTGCCAGGTGAAGTGACCTCCCTATCACTACACACCTCCCTTAGGAAACCAGGCATCGGCTCTGCCTCCTGACACGGGTCTGTTCTTTGTAATTCCTGGCACTATCAGTGACCTGCAATGCATAACAATGACTGAAAGCTGTAACTGGGGTGTACTTAGGCTGGGTGATCTGCTAAACCCCAAATCCAAGCATTTTACACAAATGTATGAGTCTGATCTACTCTGACTGAAGCTTTTTCTATCAGCACATAATGGACATGACAATAAATTCCGTGCCGCAGCATTTCACTTGCTCCTGGTCTGTTCTTTTGTGCTGGTAAAACGTTTCTTGCCACCAAAAGCATGAAATCAGAGCTCATCAGGGCAACCTTTCTTATAGAATTCAAACAAGAAAATCACACGGATTTTGCACTTTGGGGCTTTCTCTGCTTTAGCAACAATTTAACCACAAGTTTATAATTGCCTTACCTTGGTTTTGTTGCTGCTCTCCAGAAGAGAGGATCAGGCTCTTCCAATTTAACCAGACTGGTGCAACTTTGACTCCAAATAAGGAACACAAACTTGGGTCAGTTAAAAAACTGCCCTGTGACAGTTTCTGGACAGGTAGCAAACCTGTTAAAATGTTGAAGGCAACTTCTTGAGGGCCACAAATTCAGGCAGACCATTTCTGAGGAGACCCAGCACACCCCTGGCAGCACCTGCTGGCCAGGAATTCCCATCATGACTGGCCTCTACTAAGCAGAATATAAAAGCCACAAATATAAATGCAATAATAAACATTTCTTGCATCCACACTGCTTTTGTAAGACTTCTTTGGATTTTGGTAAATGTGCTGTATTTGCTTGTTTAAGAAAATCCTCCAGTGTCTGCAAACCTGCAGGGTTTTTCTCTAAATGAGTTCCAGCTGAGCATTTTCCCAAAAACGAAGCTTCAAATGTAAGGGAATCAAGTAGGATTTGGCCCAAAGCAAAACCATCCTCACAGCATTCTGCCTGTGTTTAGCTGGCAGTTACATGCTCTTGACAAATCCTGGACACTGTCAGTTTTTCAAGGTTAAACCAGATTTTAGTCCTTCCGTGAAGGCTGAGGAGAAGCTGCCCGGCCATCCCTGTTCTGTGTCTGGTAAACATCAACCACAATCCTCTGCCAGGAACATCACTGGTTTTGAACTGGAACTTCATTCTGTTTACTGGAAGCCTGGAAAAATGCTAGTAAGCTGAGCAGGTCAGGAAGAGAGAGCACACGGGGAAAATTCAGAATGGATCTTCTGGTAGCAATTAAAAAAACCCCAAAAGGATAATATCTTCTCTTTCTCACCTAACATCCTTGTTTTACCTCTTCTATGAGCGAGCAAGATCTGTACAGCCAATTCTCAAGCTGAGCATCACCAGCAACACACCCTCTTGATTGTAAGGTTCTGGGAAAAGGTATCTTTGGTTTGGTTTTCTAACCAAAAGCCAAGAAAGCAAGGCCATAAAATAACTCCCTGGTGTCCATTGCTTTGGGAAGAGCCAACTTCTACTGTTATCAACTCTGTCCCAACTCCCTGGCCATCAGGGATCAGCAGATGTGGTGACAAGCTGCACTGGCACAGGGCTGTGCCCAGTCTGTGGGGCTGGAGGCTCTGAGCATTCCTTCTGGAGGATCTGGAGGGAAAACTGACATTTGCTTTCTGGACTGGATGCTCCAAGAGCTGAAGCATCTGTGCTTGGAGCACATCTGTGGAAGCAGCTCAGCCCTGGGTGATAACTCAGCCCCAGAGCCCGTCCAGCAGTCTGGAGCCAGCTGAGTCTCTGACCCTCCAGTGGTGAAACTCATACCCAGAGCAATAGGAACAGCCTCATACAGAGCAGTCATGTATCGAGTAAAAAAAATACAATTATTTTTAATACCAATTAAGATAAATTTCAAGACAAATCATCACCAGTGTTGTAACACTTGTATATTTTTGTCAACGAGCAGCATTTACATGTGAACATTTCCACTGTAGTCTCCTGGTGGCTCCAGAGGAAACCACAAAGGAAGGATGTCACGAGGAGATGACAAGTCCCACTGCAGCCTGCAGGTACCTCGACTGCTCCTCCCGTTTGGGCAACTGAGCTTGGAGAGGAGACTGTGAAAAACTGTTCAATGTTCTCAGGAGGCAAAGTCAGTTCTTGGCTTTGCCCTTTTTTGCAGGAAGTCGCCCCGTTGCTTCGAGGTATTTGTTAATGATTTCCTCTTGGGTGCTGGGGGAACACGGCTGGTATTTACAGTATTCCATTGTGTATTCACCCTTTCCCTGCAGAGTTGGAAAAGTCAAAGTGAGGATGCTAAACACGTCCACCTATGTAGCAGCAGGTCTCACTCATCTGTGACAGAACATGCAAGAATCATCCACTGTTCAGTATCCAACACTGGGCACTGCACAGGCAGGGATGGGAGGCAAAGACATGCAAACAGCATCTGAAGGTTGTTTCTTTGAAACAAGGTTGCCCGTGGTTCCCACCTCATCAGTCTGTAGCTACAG